GGTGTCAGTCTGAAGACTAAGGGTCCCTAATCCAAGTCATAGTATTTTTCTATCTCTTCATATGCATGTCAAAACTAGACAGTGAATTAGGGAGATTGGAGAAGAATCCATGCATTTGAATTATGGTATTGATTAAGAATATTGAAAGTAATATGACTGCTCCTTGGGAACCCTATACAGGGTCACTATAAATTAGAATAAACTTACTTACACTTTACAATAGCAACAGCCTGGATTGACAATTAAATATTTCTTGGAAGAAGTGCAACCAGAATGCTCCTTAGAAGCAAGGATGGTGAGACTTCGTTTCATTACTTCGGACATTTTGTCAGGAAGGACTAGTCTCTGGAGAAGAATATCATGCTTGGTATAGTCAAGGGTAGATGAAAAAGAGGAAACCCATATTGAGATGGGTTGACACAGTAGCTAGTGGCAACAACAGTGGAGTCAAACACAATAATTGTGAGACTGACTCAGGATCATGCAGTGATTCATGTTTTCTTTTGTTGTATATAGTGTATATAGGATCAGAACTGACTAGATAGCATCTAACAACAACATAGATGACTAATTTTAAAATTTGTTTGAAAAAGGTAAAAAAACCACACCCATGTTTTCTAGTATAAATTAATTCACAAGTAAAATAATAAAAATTTTACTAATGAAACATTTATCTATGGGAAATGCAGAAAGTTTGTATACTGTTTTATCCAAAAACAAGAGCATGGGCTTCAGTAGCTTCTGAATAGCCTACATCACCAGTGAATCACAGTCCTCTATATTTCCAGAACCTGCATGAAAATTTAGTGTCTGATTCTGGACTTGACTCTTTCCCTTAGTGTCTTGCTGTAGTAAAATTTCTATTCATACTAACCTGAGATGACACCTAAGCACCTTCAGTAGCATAAAATTATGATTATTATGAAAGTTGTTTCAAATAAAATCAGAAACTCTTTGAATTTTGAAATAAAAGGAAGCTCTGTTCTGTATGGTTCTTGATTAAAGCTTCTTGTCCCATTTTAATAGAAAAATAAGAGATTTATAGCAGTTGTGCTGTGGTCTTTCATATTATAAATGCTTAAATATTTTTTATTATCTTAATCCAAATTAATTATAATTTCTTTCCCTCATCTTCTTAACTATTACAACTAGCTTCTAACCAATGTTTTGGTGGGAGTAATTCCAAAAAAAAAACCAAATCCATTGGTCAAAATTCTATAATGGTCACTTTCCAAAAAAGCAAGGAAATTCTCCATTCTTTATATATGATGATTTGTGATCAGGATGAATTCCTCAGTTACTGTCTTACCTTATGAGCCATCCATGGTAAGGCACAATGAGTACATGATGTGATTAATCACTGGAGAGTTTGGTCAGGGTCTTGCAACATAGCAGCTTCTAATGGTTAGAGTACAACATAATTGGGAACCTGGAATGGCAGATGGATCAGGGCATCAGCTTTTAATATTGCTCTTCTGGTCTTGTAGATAAGCATGCAGTTGAGTGTACTGAACTAATCAAGACCTAAGTGCAGCACATGTGCTGTCATAATTAATGGAAAAAATATAGTGCATTTTCTCAGATGTTTACATATACTCTAAAGATTTGCTATTCACAGTGTAGTCCACAAACCAGCAGTAAGCTTCCACTGAGGACTTGTAGTAAATGCAGATACTCAGAGCTCACTCAAATGTACTTGAATCAAAATCTGCATTTTAATATTCAGGTGATTTGAATGAACATTCATGTTTTAAGTGTGCTTTGTATATTTGTGGCACATGGTGTCATAAAACTTGAGTACTTTGTTATTTTTTGATTGTCATTGTTGTTAAGTGCCCTTGAAGTGGTTCTGACTCATAGTGTTTCCAAGGAACAG